ATGACAACTTCCCACCTCACTACTCCACCCTCAACGCAAAGTGCAAGCATCGCCTTGCAACAGCAACACTGGAAGTGGGGAAAACGAGAGAATGAGTGGGAAGGAATTGTGATGGCGACTGTCACGCAATGGCTGTCGTGACGATTGCAGTGTCCAATGCGTGACCAGTTGGGTGTATGTGTGGCCTTGGAAAATGAAAAGAAGGGGACGGATTTGGGACTCAGTGAAGGGGTGGGTGCACGAGAGAATGCTACAACTGCTGCAGTGTCGCAGTGAGGACTGACAAGATTTGGGTAGAGGAGACGTTTGCATTGTGGTGTCCACGTGGGAGGAGTGTGATGTCGGTCAGCATTGAGCACGCAGAATGCAGTAATGTGGCAGCGCATCGTGGGTGCACTAGAAGTGAGTTGCTGTGGACGCGAATGTGAGGGGGAGGAGGAGGAGGAGGAGGGAGGGTGAGATGGAGTGAGAGAGGGTGGGGATAGGGGAGTAGGGGATAGTTGGATGCGAGTGAGATGACGCAGTGTGACAGTAGTAGTTGAAGTCGGTGAGGTTGGTATGATGATGCTGTGCGTTGAGGTGAGGGTAGAAGTTGACGTCGAGCGCTGTGGTATGGAGGGTGTTTGCATAAGAACAAGGGTTGAGGAGAGAGGAGGAGTAGAGGAGAGCGATGATGGTCATTGTGATGCCGTATGAGGAGGACAGATGTGATTGTCAGGAGTGGGATCGCTTGATTGAAAATGGGAGGTAAAGATTAATGGTGGTGGAGAGGAGGTGGTGGGACAACAGATGGTGAGTGGTATTCGCTGTCTCCACATGGGTAGCACAATGCTCCATTGGAAGTGCTCGCTACGTGTACACGTTGAGGATGGAAGTGTGGGCGTGACTTTGACTCGGTTCACAGTGGCCGATCGCCGCGTCTCCTTGTTGCGCATGTTGTGGTCGAGGAAGCGTGGATGCCCACACCCTCCACCGATGCTGCACAACCAGTCCTCTCCCCACCCATCACTCATTCTGCACTCCATGCTATACGCCATCGCGTCTACCAACAGACTAGCCAAATGCTACATCTGTTACCTCTTCCAATATTTCCCATTTATTTACCACCATCACCTTCTCCTCTTTGACAAGGGAATGAGGTGTGACATGTCAGCCAGATGGGTTGTGCAAACACGAGGAGCGATGAGGCCACTTTGGTTGATAGGTATGAATCTCCCTACTTCCTTCCCTCCTTCCTTCCTTCCTTCCCTCCCATACTTCTACCTCCTCCCACCTCACCTTCACACCACCCCACACCACTCCACTCATAAGATCCACTGACATCCTACTTTGACCCCAGTCCTCATCCCAACACCCTCGCACACCAGTGTTTCGCCTCCCTGTGTGCCCATTCAATCCGACGCACCTCTGCTTGATTGACTTGGTCCTCCTCCTCCTCCTCCTCCTCCTCCTCCTTACCACCTTAATCCGACCAACTCACCCATGTGCCTGCTTTACGCAGTGGCGTGAGTGACCGCCTTGCCGCTTAATGTCGACTCATTAGAGGAGTCTGTGCGTCTGGTGGACAAACTATGCGATGACGGTCGAGTGAATTTGGAAGCCACCTTCCTCAATTGCAGCACACCTCGCTTATCTCCAATCGCATCTCCATCTCACATGACGCACGGTGGAGGATCGAAGACACTACACAGTGGCACTAACGTGGTGGACACGAAGGGCAGAGGTGGGGTGAGGATTGTGCGTCGTCAAAAAGAAGGGAGAGGGAAAGAGGAAGAAGAGGAAGAGGAGGAGGAGGAGGAGGCGAAATGGGTGTGGGTGGATGGAGACCATCAACTGATGTTTGTGGTGGGTGCTTGAGGCAATGCCAATTGCAGAGTGGAAATAGCATCTTCACTGACCTCCGATCTTTAAGTGCATCGGTCCAACACCTCATCCGTCCACTTCACATCTACCACAGTTTCTCTCTTTCACCACCATGTCGTTCACACT